GCCCGGCTAATTTTTTTGATTTATTGTAGAAATGAGGTCTCGCCAAGTTGCCCAGGCGGGTCTTGAACCCGCAGGCTCAGGCAATTCACTCACTTCAGCCTCCCAAAGTGTGGGATTACAGGCTGAGACACTGAGCCCGGCCAATAATAATTTAATGAGTGCCCAACCTTCCTAGCTATTCCTGAAGGTGCCAGCTAGGAACCTGGAGTCTGGGTTGAGGTGTACAGAGAACAGGCAGACTAATAGACCTTAGAACGTTAAGTGAAGGATGGAGTTGAAGAAAGGAGCATCTTGAGGGAAACACTGGTATGTTTCATTTATTACCTGATAGAAAGAGGCCGAAGCAACAGGAGGATTGCCTGAGACTAGGAGTTCAGGGTTAGTCTGGACAGCATAGCAAGACCTCCATATCTCGAAAACACCCCCAAGCAAGCAAGCAAACAAACAAACAATAACAGCAAAAAGCTAGCCAGGCATGGTGGCTCACGCTTGTAGTTCCAGCAGTTGGGAGGCTAAACTGGGAGGATCACTTAAGCCCAGGAGGTCAAAGCTGTATAGTGAGCTAGAATTGGGCCCCTGAATCTCAGCCTGGGCAACAGAGTGAGACTCTGTCTTAGATAAAATAAAATAAAATTATAATTATAAAAAGAAAGAGATTGAAACAAAAGGCTCAGCTCTAAGGTAGAAAATAGTGGGGAAGAGTATTAAACTTGACTCTAGGCAGAGTGTGAGAAATGTCACTAAGCAGAGTAATTAATAGAAGAGTAATTAAGCCTGGCTCAGTGGCTCAGCCTGTAATCCCGCGCCTTTGGGAGGCTGAGGTGAGTGGATTGCCTGAGCCCGCGGCTTCGAGACCCACCTGGGCAACTTGGTGAGACCTCATCTCTACAATAAATCAAAATGAGCCGGGCGTGGTAGCGCATGCCTGTAGTTCCAGCTACTTGGAAGGCTGAGGCGGAAGGATCGCCGGAGCCCAGCAGGTCGAGGCTGCGGTGGCGAGGAAGCGGCCACTGCACTCCAGTCTGGGCGACAGTGAGACCCCAACTCAAAAAAAAAAAAAAAAAAAGAAGAGTAATTAATACCATTCCATCTTCTACATTCCACTGGCGGGGGCCGGCGGGGGAGAGAGACTGACATATTTAAGGAAATCCAGCGGGTGTCGTTCTCCTCTCAAGGCTTTTTTCTATCTCCTTCCTTGACAATGACACGGGGGCCATGGCAGCTTACGACGTATGTACATCATCAACAAGGAGATCTGCTCCCGTCTTGTCTGTAAGGAGCATGAAGTTATGAAAGGTAAGGTGACGTCTGGGTGTTTACTGGGGAGAAATTGTTATGAGAGGGGTAAATAGAGACACAATGCTAATATTTCAAATTCTGGTATTCGAAAAGAAGGGGCTTTAGGCTACCTCCTCAGTCTATGAGCACCTGTTGGAAGACATCCCAAATAAACAATCTAAGTAAAGCACTCGGCTTAATATACAAACACAACCCTAAGAAAAGTATCCCTAGATCTCTTTCCTACTAGATTGTAAACCCACAGCCTCTCCTATATAGAAAGCTTTCTGACATTCTGTTTCAAAGAGCATTTACTGGGGTTCTAAGGACAGGGTCAAATCAGCCATTACAGATCATGGATTCTTCTAGTCAGCAGCCATGTTCATAACTCTCAAAAGAAAACACACAGACACACACACTAATTCGGAGACAGTAAGGTTTGGATAGGGCCTGTAAATTTTTAAAAATCGGCGGGACGTTTAGAAATCGGCTACGTTATAAATAGTTCACCAATTCCAGGAACAATTTACATTTCTTATTGTGAAATTTCAAAGGTAGAAGAAGGTAGAAAGACGTTATAAGACCAATGACAAGGGCTAAAGCGTGTGGTTATAGACTGTGCATGGTGGGAACAGAGACACTTCTCACCTTTCCCTGGGCTAGCCCCAAACGATGGCTGTGGTTGGCGAAGAGACCACAGACACAGCCACTTCTGACTCAGCAGCTCGCTTTGAGCTGAGGCCCTGAGTCAGAGCTGGAGTTGATTTCGCAGAAGGAAACCTGCTGCGAGTGCCATTGTCTCTGCGCAAGCCACCTGCAAGGGAAGCACCTTGAGATTGAGGATGAGTATCTGGAACTCCAGGCGCTTTTAAGTGTCTCGGGGGACTTGCTAAAGTTAGCGACTAGCACCTAGTCAACACCTAAACGCATCTTGAAGGACTAGACCTCATTTTTCTGTTTAATAAATCCATGATTAGAAGAATCGGGAGCTGGATATACACAGGAAACTCACATTTACTGGCCGCCTCTGCTAAGTACTCTGCACCCATGATTTCACTTTAATACTCACAAAGTAATATTCCCAAAGAGGCTGTTGAGGCAGGTAGTTTAATGCTTATTTTACAAAGAGGGACAATGAGATTCATGAAAGTTAAGACGCTTTCTAGCAAGTGGTAAATAAGTTCTAGTAGGTGGCAGAGCCGAGGTTTGAAGCCAGATCTTTTTCTCTTTAATCTTTTCATCACACCACACTGCAAAGCCTTATCTTTCCCTTAAAACAAGAGCCTTGTTCTCTTCCTGCAATCGCTTCCCAACATGTTCTCCTTCTCTTCTAGATGAGCTTTGCCGTCAGATGGCCGGTCTACCCCCAAGGCGGCTCCGGCGCTCCAACTACTTCCGACTTCCTCCCTGTGAAACATGGATTTGCAGAGACCCGGCGGTCTGTGATCACTGAGGAACAGGAAAGGAGGAATGTGTGGGTGAGAGGAAGGAGAACTTCCTTCTTCTCCCATCACTGCCAGCCAACCCATAGACAGGATCTCTTAAACCAGCCCCTTTGCTATGTCCAACTCCTGCCCACTCTCTAAATTTTCACCCACACTGATCACATTAATCTCATTTTTGAGTCCTTAAAATACAAAGTCTATATGACTGCAAGGTTTTGCTGCTTCTGAATCTCCTAGACGTTGAGCATGAATGGTGACCATATGGCTGTGTACAAGCATTCTACATGCAGTTCTGGGGGAGAATAAACTTTAGGTTAATCATCTTTACTATTGAATGTGTCTGATGTCAATCTTCGCGTGGAAGACGCTTTCCTTGTCTGTTCTGGCTAACCACAGAATTTCATTTTCTTTTCAAGAGTTTCCTAGATTAACTCCCCATCATTTGCACGTTCCTCTTTACTCTTATTTTAACTATCATGCTGGGTTGTCCTCAAATTTGCCTGGCAGGTCTTCTTTGTGAGAACCATGGTAATCTGGGTAGTCCTAGAAGAGTCTCCAACACAGCCAAGATTATACAATCCTATTAGCAATATATATAGACCCCAAATGTCTCATGCTGAGCACAGGGGCTGGAGCTCAAGGGTGAGAACTAAGCCAGGAACAGAGCTTGGACTTATAACACTCTATCCAAATTTCCATGGAGTTGTCCAGTTGGGAAGTGGGACTGGAAAGTAAGTCTCATTTGTCCATTTGTGTGTTCATCTAGTGCTAAGGCTAGCTCACCTCCACAAAGCAAATCACACAATTTAATTGGAAATCACGCCATGGGTTGGCGTTTCCTTGAGTTGCTGCTACTGCAGTCATCCTCACCCCTTACCAAGTACACAATAGAGATTATTGTGTAAATGCTCACTGGGGCCTAGGTAGGGCATTAAGGCATGAATTTTAATAGACAGACAGAAAGTTTGCCTAACAGTTAATATGAAAGAGTAAAAGAGACACAATATTCAGACAAACCACATTCTTTTTTTTTTTTTTTTTTTAATTTAGTCCGAGTCTCACTCTGTTGCCCAGTCTGGAGTACAGTGGCACGCTTTCTGGGTTCAGGCAATCCTTCTGCCTCAGCCTCCCAAGTAGCTGGTTCTACAGGCACATGCCACCAAACTCGGTTAATTTTTTTGAGAGGTTTTTTTTCTTTTTGGTAGACTCAAGATCTTACTATGTTGCCCAGGCTGGCCTCGAACTTTGGGTTCAAACAATCCTCCTGCCTTAGCTTTCCAATATGCTGGAATTAAAGGCACGAGCCACTCTACCCGGACAGACAACCCACGTTCTTATTCTGGCTGTAGTAGTATCCACATAGTCTCAGATCAGTTATTTTCCCTCATTAGGTCCTGGTTTAATTTCCTCATCTTTAAAATGAGGTTTATATATTTTTTTTTTTGAGTTGGATTCTCACTCCGTAGCCCAGGGTGAAGTGTTGTGGCACACTCACGGCCACTGCAGTCTCAACCTGCTAGGCTCCGGCAATCCTTTCACCTCAGACTTCCAAGTAGCTGGAACTACAGGCGCGTGCTACTATGCCTGGCTAATTTTTTGATTTATTGTAGAGATGCGGTCTCACCAAGTTGTCCAGGCTGGTCTTGAACCTGTGCACTCAGGCAATCCTCTCACCTCGGCCTCCCAAAGCTCTGGGATTACAGGCTTGAACCACTGTGCCCAGCCAGAGAAAGTTAAATTTATGTTAATTCTAAGGTTACTTTTTTTTTTTTTTGAGTTGGAGTCTCGCCCTGTCACCCAGGCTGGACCCCAGCTTTGACTTGCTGGGCTCCAGTGATCCTTCTGCCTCAGCTTTCCAAGTACCTGGAACTACAGGCACATACTACCATGCCCAGCTAATTCTTTATTTATTGTAGGGACAAGGTCTTGCCAAGTTGCCCAGGTTGGTCTCGAACCCCTGGATTCAGGCAGTCCTTTCGGCTCAGCCTCCCAAAGTGCTAGGATTACAGACGTGAGCGACTGCATCCAGATAATTGCAGTTAATTCACACCCATATCTGCTTCATTCTAGATAAGTACAGTAGCCCACAATGTAATGGAACAAATCTCATTATCATAAGTGACAAATTATAGATCCTTCTTCGGAATAACTCAGTAACTTTCCATAAGAGCCAATGGAATTCAAATAGAAATTCAAATAGGGGACAAGTTACATATGACAGTGGGATTGGATTCCATTCTGAAAAAACTAGCTAAATGAGGATAGGATTCTTGCTGTTAAGAAAAAATTTAGTACAGCCAATTAAAGAGAAATGCTAGAAAAAAGCCCCCAAACATGTAATCACTACTCCTCACAGCCTCTAGAATTAAATGTACTCATTTATAGATAGACATCTTAAATGAATATTGTAGCCACTATAGGGAAACTTCATAGGCAGAGTTTCAAGATTTTTTTTTTTTTGAGTCAGAGTCTCACCCTGCCACCCAGACAGGAGTACAGTGGCACACTTACGGCCACTGCAACCACACCATCCTGGGCTCAGGTAATCCTTCTGCCTCAGCCTTGCAAGTAGCTGGAACTACAGGCAAGTGCCACTACGCCTGGCTAATTTTTTGATTTATTGTTAACACGAAGTCTTGCCAAGTTGCCCAGACTGGTCTCGAATCCCTGGGCTCAGGCAATCCTCTTGCGTCCACCTCCCAAAGTGTTGGGATTACATTTGTGAGCCACCACACTCGGCTTCAAGAATCTTTTTTTTTTTAATTTTTATTAATCGATATTTTTTATTATGGTTTTGTGGGGTACAGTTAAGGGTTAGGTGTACAATTACGTTTCATTCAGGCACCCTGTTGATAAGAGGTGTTTTCCCATCCCCAGACAGATATTTGCTCCTGTTAATCCCAACCCCCTCCCCCCTTCAAGAATCATTTTAAGGATTTCTTTATAGCCGGGCTCGGTGGCTCAGCCTGTAATCTTGCACCTTTGGGAGGCTGAGGTGAGTGAATTGCCTGAGCCCGCGGGTTCGAGACCCGCCTGGGCAACTTGGCGAGACCTCATCTCTACAATAAATCAAAATGAGCCGGGCATGGTAGTGCGTGCCTGTAGTTCCAGCTACTTGGAAGGCTGAAGGGAAGGATCGCCGGAGCCCAGCGGGTCGAGGCTGCCGTGGCTGGGAGCGGCCACTGCACTCCAGTCTGGGTGGCAGAGTGAGACTCCAACTCAAAAAAAAAAAAAAAGAATTTCTTTATGAACTTGACCTTCCTACTGCATATTGTAACATTTCTACCAGACAACACCTCGATCCTAGTATTGTATATATTGCAAATTAAAATAATGTTCCCCCCAGTTTCTCAGAATAAAGTAGCCGTTGGTCTGGTTAATTCTTTTTCTCTTCTCCTTTATGTTTACAAGAAGACCTGAATTCATGCTCTTCTGTCCCACTTTGAAAACTGCATGCTGGCTGGGCGCAGTGTCTCATGCCTATAATCCCAGCACTTTGGGAGGCCGAGGTGAGAGGATTGCCCGAGCCCACAGGTTTGAGACCAGGCTGGGCAACTTGGTGAGACCTCATCTCTACAATAAATAAAAAAATTAGCTGGGCATGGTGGTGCATGCCTGTGGTTTCAGCTACTTGGAAGGCTGAGGTGGAAAGGTCACCTGAGCCCAGCAGGTCAAGGCTGCGGTGGCTGTGAGTGTGCCACTGCACTCCAGCCAGGACGACAGAGTGAGAGACTCCAACTCAAAAGAAAAGAAAAGAAAAGAAAAAACTGCGTACTGGCTGGGCTTGGTGGCTCAGCCTATAATCCAAGCATTTTCATAGGCCGAGGCGAGTGGACTGCCTGAGCCTGTGGGTTCCAGACTAGCCCGGGCGACTTGATGAAACCTTGTCTCTACAATAAAATCAAAACTTAGCTAGACGTGGTAGTGCACACCTGTAGTTTCAGCTACTTGGAAGGCTGAGGTGAAGGATTGCCAGAGCCCAGCAAGTCGATGCTGGGGTGACCGTGAGTGTGCCACTGCCTGGGTGACAGAGCCTGGGTGACAGAGTGGGAGTCCAACTCAAAAAAAAAAAGGGAGAAAACTGTGTGCCAATATTGGTCAAATTTCTCACTTCTGCTATTCTCTAGTCTGTCCTTCACTTCACAACTTTACCACTGGTTTTCTAACACTCCAAATGTATATACTCTCCTCCAGATGTGCCGCCTTTTTCTTTTTTTCTTTTTTTCTTTGAGTTGGAGTCTCACTCGGTCGCTCAGACTAGAGTGCAGTGGCCGCTTCCGGCCACCACAGCCTCGACCCGCTGGGCTCCGGCGATCCTTCCGCCTCAGCCTTCCAAGTAGCTGGAATTACAGGCATGTGCTACCACGCCCGGCTGATTTTTTGATTTATTGTAGAGATGAGGTCTCGCTGCCCAGGCGGGTCTCGAATCCACGGGCTCAGGCAATCCACTCACCTCAGCCTCCCAAAGGCGTGGGATTACAGGCTGAGCCACCCAGCCCAGCCATAAACCAACATTTATAACTTGCTTTCCATTCGTTCTTTCCTCATCCTTATTAAATCATATCTTCTTCCCATAACCTTCCTCTAAGGAAGGTCCCAGATGAAGATTTCAGGCAGCTGGTTTCGATTCCAGCTACTTCCTTCTGCATTCCTCTGCTGGCAGAATTCCATCCCCTCCACTGCTGCAGTTGTTTATCCCTCGTCCCTGATGATCGAGTTTTCTCTCCTTATTCCCTCCCAGGAAAGAATCTGAAAACCTTTTCCTCTTTATCCAGTTATCCCCTTCTTACACTCTTAGCTTTTTTTTTTTTTTTTTGAGTCGGAGTCTCACTCTGTCGCCCAGAGTGGA